TCTTAATTGTATCTTTTTTCTACGATGACATCAATAAATAAATGAAATATTGTGATTAATTGCGGGTATCGTAAATGCAAGAAAGGAACAATTGATATACGAATTGATTTGATCATGAGTAATGTCAGTAAACCAGCATTGGAGAATGAAATAATAAAATTTGAGAAAACTATCTTCTAGTTAACAAGTATCAAGTCCGTTTAACTTTCAATTTCGGTCTTTATTCCTTACGAAGAGCAAACGAACCCAGAGAGATTGAGTGATAATAATAAAGTATCAATGCCTGAAAGATGCCATTTTTTTGATAATCAATCGAATTGTCTGATCGAACAGCAGGCGACACAAAACAGGACGCAGAAAAAGAAGGCTGGAACGTAACAGCGCGGCATAAAACTGGAGAACTTCCAGCAGACGAAGTCCATGCGCAGGAAACGTCTGCTAACTTGGCAACTGCATTGTAAATTCGTCTAAAAACAATGCAAAGTAATATTTTGACAACGAGGATAAATGCACACTCGTTTGCGCATAGATAATGTTTATGCGGTTCTCATGAATTTCCTTGGCGGCTCAATTGAAAACCACCCAAGAGTCAGACATGAGAGCGTGTCTGTCTTGTCACGTGACAAGAGACACACCTGATACCGAGAGGGGGTAGGCCAGGCAGGAGGAGGGCAGACTATCTAAATTCGTCTGCTAAAACACGCCAAATATTTGTTACATAAGCAGGAATTACTGGCATGACGTTCCCGCATTGAATAACGAAAAATTATACTTTAGACTCTGTGGGGGGATTGAAGAGAAATAACAGAGAGAAAAATATTGCGAAGGCATTTTGTTTTCTAGTTGCCTACTTATAAAAAGAAATATGGAAACTGCTTATAGGTAAGAAATGTTCACCAGAATATCGTGCGAATAAGCCGTTTCGAGTCCTATCAACACGGGTTCGAATCCTTAGTGACAAAAAGTTGGCTTGTCTTTTGTCTGTTTTACTATTTTTTGAATAAAAAACAAAAGTTGTCTCGTCAATCATTTATCTCTCAAATTTCCTTTCATCCCGAGATTCAGAAGTTGGACCGTATTTCTTATTTTCCATTTCAATTGACTGACAACACTCAAGAAGGAAAAGGAGACCTAGAATAGTATCCCATACATATAAACATTTTCTGTTTTATCTGTATATGTGGAGAAAACAACGACGATTAAGTCTACGGAAATTACACATCCCAGTTTGCCAGGAAATCACACTGTTAACCCTTTTCCTTCTATTTTTTTTTATTTTACTTTTGTAACGACTGTACTATGTCAGCGGATGCGATCAGTGATTTGTGAGTGAGGCAAAGCGAATTATATTGGCTCTATATATGTAAGCCTATACTGTCAATTTCTTAGCCAAATACCCAAATTGATTGTCATTTTTTCTGTTTTTTTTCTGGTTTAATTTTCTAAATTCTTTTAATTAGTTCTAATTTAAGAGAAGTGTTGTAAGAGAGAACACAGAATTACAAATAAGTACAGGAAGAACTCCCAAACAGTTTTCTATAATTAGCACAAATAAAATTATTTTAAGAGAGCGCTGCTGATGAAGTCTGTTTGCATAAATGTGCATTCTGAGTTCTATAAATACTCACACTGTGTATTCAGGAATGTGTTTATTTTGAAACGTACCCATATTGGCAAATGTAGAAAAGGTATGAATGAGACTGGATATCTTTACAATACATGTTGAAGACGTAATCGAAACCGGTCAAATACATCTCTTGTATTGTGAAGATATCCAGTCTCATTCATACCTTTTCTACAAGTGGTTATATTGCTAACAGTAACGATAATCGCCAACGTTCACACATACGCATACGTATATATTTACGTATTGTACCGACACAGTGAAGCAAACCTTAACACTATTAAAGATTCAAAGATCATTTTTCACGTTGCTCTTTGATATCTTGTTCAGTATATTCTTTTTCCTTTTCTCATATCGATTTCCCCCAATTACCATATTCCCTTTTTTTCTGGGTAATAGATGTGACCTTAATCAGACCACTCAGAATAAATATTAAATCTGAAAGAGACGAGTGGAACATGTAGGAACTTCCCATCGAGTCTGGGTCACTTCCTTGTTTTGGAATCCTCGTATCCAGTCAGAAGTAGGTTACTGTCAGTTCTCACAGTCCTGGACAAGTGTAAGATTGATTATTTACTTGTCTTGATCATTCCTTTATTTGACAAGTGTAAGACTGATTATTTACCTGTCTTGACCATCCCTTTATTCCTTTAACATGGTTGTTTCGGTATATGCAAGTGTCTTTGTAGGCAAGATGGGATTAAAATTTAGAAACGAAGTAAGAGTCCCGGTCAAAAGTAGCATTTTTTCCAGTATTCTTTTCCTTGTTTGCTTCTTTTCTTCTTCAAAACACACACACACACACACACACACACACACACACACACACACACACACACACACACACACACACACACACACACACACACACACACACACACTGGAAATGAGTGACATGCAGATCCATATCCTCAGAAACCAAAAAAAAAAAAAAATGAAAGCAAGAAAACGTCAATTCTTTCGATAAAGACTTTATTTGAAGCTCCAACGTGTTACACATTACTACATGTTACTAAACCCTGTTGACTGACTCTTTCCAACAGTGTGAACGTGAAAACTT